AATCACTGAATCTGGGGGCTTTCAACGTGAGGACTTTGATGCAGCTAAGTTAACAAGCTTGTTTGGCTCGTACAATGGAAGCCTTAGGAATCGATATTTGCTGCGTGTCAGAGACACGAATTCAGGATCCTGTTACTATAAGCCACTTGAGCGCGCCAGATTAATCGACGAGATACGTTCTTCGCACATTAGGTGACGATGAAGCTCGTTCAGTAGGTCAGCGCGGGGTAGGTATTGTACTCAGTAATAGGGCGGAATCCTATCTTATAGGATGAATCCCCGTCAACAGTTGTTTATGTGCTCCAAAACGTAGGTGTTGAATGGACANCGAAATACTGGAGAGCACACTAAGGGGACTCCAAAACGTAGGTATTGAATCGACAGCTGGAAAACAGCTATGCGATTTGGAGTACGCCGATGATATCGTCTGCTTCTTCGAATGTATGGAGGACGCGCAAAGTGCACTTGATAGATTAACAAGTGCAGTGGCCAAATTCGGTATGTGCTTTGCACCTTCAAAGTGCAGAGTGATGCTGCAGGACTGAGTTTCGTCTACTCTCACTCTGACACTAAATGGCCAGGATTTAGTTGTGGTGGATTACTTTTCCTGCTTAGGTAGTTGCGTGACCACAGACGGTTGGTTGAAGGAGATAACCGCCCGCATTTCTAAGGCTCGAGCAGCATACGCAGGACTGAAACGCGACGCGACGTTTCACTGAAGTTGAAAGGTCGTGTATATTGTGCTTAAGCTTGTTCAGTGCTGGTTTATGGTTGTTAGACCCTGAATTTTCAAGTAGAAGATATTCGTCGACGGAATTTTTTGACTATCAGTGTTTACTCAGTTTAGCCCATGTTGGATGGAGCCAACGGATTAGTTAAATGGAGGGAAACTGTCGTGTGTTTGGGAGTCTGTCAGGTATAAACCTGCTAGCATACCGAATTCAGATTACTAGACTTCGGTGGCTAGGGCACGTATTGCGTATGCCCAGCCATCATCTGCCACACCGCGTTTTATTCGCTGTTGCTAATCCGGGCTGGAGGAAACCACGCGGAGGTCAACAGATGACGTGGAGACGAGGCATGAAGAAATGCACACAGCCATTAGGTAGAGTAGGTGTCTCTCGCCTTCCGGGTTGGGGTCCGAAAGACTCCACAACCGGTTGGTTGGAGACATTGAAGGATATGGCAGCGAACCGGCAGCAGTGGCGTTCTTGTTGTTGTTTCTCATCAGGTTAGAATGCTTGAAACGGTATGTATGCAGAGTTCGATTTCATACTCTGTGTGCTGACGATAGAGGTTCGCCTTCTTCCCCCTCCCTCAAAATAGATCCAATCCCTGTCCACCTTAAATTTTATCACTAACCTTGTATGCATTGTGAGTTTGGCAGGGGTCAGTGAAGTTCGCTTCACGGTATTTCGTTGTACGATGATAATGATGATGAGGATGACTTGAAACTTGAACGCGGTCTTTAATCCTTCCTAAACAGTTTCCTCAAAATTCTCGAGTTTTACCATCATTTTTCAATGTAAAATTAACAAATAACTACACCACAATATCAATCCGATAGAGCACCAATGATTAGTTCTATCGCAGTGCGCTGACAACCGGAGTGTAGGGTATATTATATTATATTTCGCACCTGTCTGAGGCCAGACTGTGTGCCAAACAAATCCTGGCCCAATAATCTTTATAAAAAAGACGAATGTTCCACAATATGCCAGATTGCCCAGGCCAAGGCAGGTGAATTTTCTTGAGGAATCCACAACCGGAGCCTTAGACTAACCAAAACTTTTAACCCGCAAGGCAGCGGGGCGGTGTGTGATAACGGCAATCCATTGGGGGCCGGTGTTCAGTCCATTGGATCATACGTCCTTTAGACTGGGTCGAACGTTCAAGGTGCCCAATACATATCATTAACCAAAGTGGTTACGTGATGGTGTTACGTCATGATCGTAGAATAGAATAATAACACCATTTAAAAATATTTTCTCTGTGCGCTTTAGAAGATCCTGAAACCGTAAATGCTGTACCAATAGAACGTTATTAACAGTTTATTGTCCTAAAGTACAATTATTTAAGGAAATAGTGCGTTGTTCACACCGGGGTCTTGCATTCGAACCGCTGGGTGTAGCCTTGAATGAATTGATGTTAGATAACAATGATAATATTCGTGCTTTCATTTATTTGACGCACAGCAAATGTACAACCAACATTCCGAAAGAAGGTTTGACCAATCGAAGGCTGCCATGGTTATGTAGAAATACGGTGCACATGGAGAGCGTAAGGTGGGAAGAGAGTTGTCAGGATTGTATACCGCTCAACCGTCACCCCAAGTGGAGTAAAGGTATCTTAGTATCTCAACAGTGAATTACCGGAATACGCATTTTCGCCATCTCTCAATATTGTTGATGAACTTACGAGTATCATTCAAATTATCAGTAATCATATTACAACAATGCCATTAGGTTGGCTATCATTGTGCTTAGTTCGTGAGAATTTCACATGGAATGTGGTTTTCTTCATGTGTCATTGATTCGTGCCTCCAAAATCCCTAGTCTAGTCGGGGATGGATTTCTGGGGTCGTGGCTGGTCACCCTTCCCTTGCACCTCGTCAAATGCTCCCATACAACCAAGCGTCTCTCATAGCCTCTGCCTTCTTTTGGCGGAGGTGTTTTCCCATCAAAATGAGAGGACGAAAAGCCGATATCCGGGGCTATAACTGGGTGGGTGAACCACTGGCAGTTCACCTAAGGGAGTTGACTAAAAGACCCGATTGCAAACCAATCAAGAGGATGCGTACGAACCACGCACACCTTCCTGGTCGTGGTAGTGGTTACCAGCTCGATTTGGTATGGTGGTGTTTTGGGTACCTAAAACGTTTGACCCGGTAGAAAGGGTGAATGATCCAATGAACTAGACACCGGATCCCAATGGATTATGGTTCTTACACACCGACATGGTCCTTTACTGGTCTGGTTGTGGTCAGTCGAAGGCTCCGGTTGTGGATTCCTCAAGAAAATTCACCCGCCTTGGCCTGAGCAACCTGACAATATTCCGCCCATGTGAAAATATTGGAATGTTTTTCTTTTTCACAAAAATTATCGTACCGTGATTTGTTTGGCACACAGTCTGGCCTCGAACGTATGTGACATATACTGACTTATACATTCAAATTGTTTTATCTTACCGCAAAGGATTCAATTTATCCTTTCACAACTAATGACGTAATAGTTTGATGTTAAGCCTATCAAACTCTGAAACACACACCGAGATTGGCTCACGGATTCGTATACGCAAATCACGCTGCTCATCGAGATAATTTTCAATCAAACAAGCCCAACAACGGTCGCTTCCCACCTTTGTTTTCGTTGGAAAAAATTGCATTCTGATTACATAGATAACCCATGTCACAGGTACTGCATATAGTGGAAGTCAAGCAGTCGAGGGAATGCTTGACCGCGATTACGCAGTCGTCTTCATATAACCTTAATCAGACCGGGTGTAATAGGCAGTTCCCGTGGTACCAGTTCACAGGCACTGAGATGAGAACTGTGTTTGAATTGTTCACTCTAATGATCCATCTATCGTATTGTTTTTGATATATTCTTACTTTCTTTTATACAGGCGGTGAGTTCGGATGAGCTGGATGAGAATGCCAAAGCCTTGCGTTTTGCAGACGACGTATTTTTTGTCCTGAAAAACTGTCTCGGGTAAGTAGTTCACCGCAAGATGTGATGTTCTTGCTATCGTTCTGCGTTCAATCCAACATAATGATTAGCCGGTCTGTTTCCACTAGTGAGGTTCAGTGGACGTAATAACTCATCAGAATTGAACGATTGTGATCGCTACACCGCAATGCGATCAGCCTAACTTTTTGATCGTCAGGCATATATTGTGGTTGTTACCAACCATTGATTTTTTATGAGTTAATCATCGGTAAAATGGATCGCGTGTGCCGTTGGTGTCGAGGTTACACGCTACATGTTTTGAATTGTTGTTGTTCAAGAAAATTTGTTGTCAAAACAAGTAAACATGACTAGGTTTTAATGGATTAATACACTTGTGCATTTCTAGGCATCATTGGTTCTCCCTTATCCAGTTTACCGGTTTTTTACGTTGACGCGTTTAACCCCTTCTGAAGCATCAATGTGTTCCCATCGTGTATAGTTGATGAGAGCCTCTACGCTCCTCGTAAATCTTCGCACAGATTCACGGGAATAGAATACGGAACGAAGTCCTCAGCACCGTATCTGTATCCTCTGTATCGCTACTAGGTCCGACTAGGAGATAATCTAACCACACCACATTCGATGTACCTTCCGGAGTAATATGGCTAGTAAATAGAACACGAACGGAGAGTTGACCGGTCGCAATTGTCACGTCACTGTGTGATCTATATACCTTGTGCCATTCTATTAATAAAAGGCGTAAGCTAGGCAAAAACACTGCGTACTCGATCATTGTCACCGATCATCTGACACTACCCAAACTCACCTTGCTTACGATTATGCACTAATCTGATGGCTGGCCACTTCTTCATGATCCGCGAACGGGCTCGGTCACTTACAGTCAGTCACTTACATTTTACTTCTAAGTTGGGGTCTGAAATTTCTGTTGATTGATTGGTTAGATTTGCGATTGAACTACTGTTATCACCATAACCATCGTCACAACCCCCAGTGCCTTTCTTGTTATCATTTGTTAGAAGCTTGAACTGTTCAAGGTGTGTATCTCTTTTTGCGCTCTGTATACTCTGGGACAGATCCTACACCAAAGCCAGACTTACCTAATGGGGCAAACGACTCGTCTTTATGATAAATAGGTACAAAAATTTATCGGGGAAGCCTAGAAGGAAGTACGGTCTTTAAAACCGCGAATGTTGGTGTACTAGAGTCCTGAATGAGGGATTCTGTGTGGTCAGAATCAATGCTAGCAATGCCAGCAGAAATAACACCCAGTGATCCACGAATGAATCGTATTGGGGGTTTAATATAGCAAACCATCAATGAACAGATAGTGAAGCATGACTAACGTACAAGGCTTAAATGAGCACCAACAATCACATGGCACGGTCGAGGAAGGGTGAACAAACCTCTTACTGGGTCAACTTCGTCGCACAGGTGCTACAGAGAATCAGAGCATGAGCATTTTCACATTTGTCCTTGGTCTGTTTCGATGCGTTAATGGTCAGTAGTGACCTTGGTGATATACTCAGCCGATGGTGTTTAATACAAATCATGTGCTTACCGAAGTGTTACCGTCATCTTGTCCTGCCCTTTTTAATTTCCCCAGTCGTGCACTGACCTCTGGCAGTGTGGACGGAATCTGTGCCATGTTGAATCACTCACGTGCCATTCTGTTGGACGAGCTGATCACAAATAATCTGTCTGCGCGAGTTCGTGCGGGTTTCCCGTCCGGTTGGATGCAAGATGCTTACAGTTACATGCAAAGTAGTGTGGCTGCAGGTACGTTGCATTGGTTGTGATTGGATTATCCAATTGGTGATTTAGTTCATTTCGGTTCTCTTCAGTTTGTTCTTAATAAACCTCTTTCTCGTATTAGCAACTGTCAGTTAGACCCGGTGATTATTATGCGTGTGTGCAAGTGGTTCATATTCTTCGACTTCATTGTGCATGTGATTCACATGATCCCCGTTAGATCAGTGGAACTACACCTTTTCCCATCAAGCTTTAACCAAGATCCTCGGTCCTCTAGCCTTGATCCACATTCCTTTAGCTACGACCCATAGTCCTTTAGCCTAGGCGGACATACTTTGGTTTTGCCGCTTTAGGCGAGTCAAACCAAAAAGTATCGGAATATTCTAATTCAAAGAAACATATTATTGTCTACAAATATTGATGTTCCAAAGTTGTGTATGACGGTCGTGCTATTCACCACATGCTGATTGAAGAGGGTTTAAACGATGTGTTCGTATCATCCAATCATTTGACATATCTCGTCCAGCTTCAGTGTTTGATTATAACATGCGATACCCTTATGAGTGAAAATCTTAAATGTAACACAAACGGTATATTGCTTGGCATTCATAAACCCTGAGATAAATCAAAAAGTGAGACCACAAAAGAGTAAATGCTTGCCTTTTGGTATCTCCACTTGATTTGAACTCTGTCCGAAGATAATAAACACCGTTCATAAAGATACATCCCCACTACTACCATCAGTTTATTATCGCTGAAACGTTTGACAGAATCACATAGGTCGAGGCTCAAAATTACGGGTTTCATCTAAAGCTTCATGGTAAAAGGTGTACTAAAAGGGATGTCTTTTGTGAAGTGTTTATTATCCTCACCCAGTTAATGAATGTATCTTAAGAGCGGTGTTCACTTTAAAGTAAATACGGAACGGTAAACACTCACTTTTTGTTCCATGTCGAAGCTTGTGAGCGCAGTTGTGGGTTCCCGAGGCAGTGGGAAAATGGACGCTTGCAACACCGAGTCCAACGTGGTGCTCATGAGACCGTGGTTGAATTGCGCTTAGCCTCTCCTCACATTGTGTCACTCAGTTCTATAGACGTTAGTGTCATCCGCAACCGGTATTGTTTTGGGTACCGAGCATGGACGTTTTTATTACGGTTAGATTATGAAGCCGAAATTTATTAAACACCATAGGATATTTACACATTACTGTTGGATGGTAGTAAAAATATAGTTATCAACACTACTCCAAAGTTTCCAACTGTTCCCTGTTTTCTCCAAATGCGCAGCCAAAAGTTGACAATCACAACCATCGCACAAAGTACAAGGTTAGCAGTAGTATGAGCTGAACCGAATGCCTATTGGTGACAATCCTTTTTGTTGACATCTATATTGATTTGGGACGTCTGATTTAGGAGTTCCTAAACTCCATGAACTTCCAGGGCAACTGGTTTATTATCTGGGTGAAGAAAAGTTAAGAGTGA